GACATAAATCGTTTTTTTATCGTACACCACAGGCATGAAGATCAACCWCGCATCTCGAAAGCARTTTTTGAATTTTTCGCTCATCYCGTTYATTTACAGAGAGGTCTCAAAAAGTCAWYKWTTTGGTCTTGCAGTGAAAATTTTTTTGTCGCTCATGTTGAAGCTAAAACTTCATASATGAGCAAMAAKRACTCAACATCGTGAAAATCGCTCCAAGAGCAGACAAATTATCGCTACAAGACCAAAAAGTTGATTTTTTGAGACCACCCTATAAATAGAATAGATGGCCGAAAACTACAAAAACCCTTTSGATCTATTTAGTTTATTTTTAAACTTTTCGTGTTAAAATACAAAAAATCTACTTTTTTGTCCAACTGGGAGCATGCCGAACTTTGTGCAATTTTGCATTTTTCCATTTGCCGCCCTGTAGAAAATTAACCTGAAGTGCTTAATTTTTACGAAAACATTGACTAACGTAAAAGAAATGAGGCTCAGTAACGCTTCAAATAGAATCAAAAGAGCGCGAAGCAATCAGAATGTATCTAGTTCAAAAATTAGRGMAAATTTGGCTGTGTAACGTTCATTTTGTTGAGCTTGATGTCGTTCTTCGCCTCACAACTTAACTCTCTTAACCAATGATTTACTTGTTTGGCTTAATTTAGTAAGTAAAATAATATCGTTTCTGACAAATGATAAATTTTCCATTTTATAATCTCCTTTACTTGTGTAAACTATTTAATTTTCTATTCGTGTTTATAATTTTTTTAAATAGGTTCTTTTGTGTGTGGACTTTCTTAAGGTTTCCCACTGTACGGCACGAAATAACGTCGTTTTGTGGATTAGGCTGGTTGACGAAGGCGTTGACATGTTCACAGAGTGATGCGAGTGTTGACAAAGCATTTTATTATCCAGAGATCTCCCCTTTTCCATGTTGACATTCACAAGGAAGGAAACACCGTATCCGGTGTAAAAACTGCAAAAAATCAGTCTCCAGAGCGTGAAAAAAATGTATACAAAACTTATTTAAGCAGAATTTAACGCGAACATTTATAAGCTCGGTTAAGCGCAACAAAATAAATGGATACACCCAGGTGGTTTACGTAAAAAGGAATGCAGACACTTAGGTGTAAATGAAAAAACACTTAACACTTAAGAACGATATTATCAGTATTTAGTGGCTGTTTCATTGACAAAAATACAAATAGTTAGAGAATAGTAAGAAGCAAATAGTAAGTAAATGCGTAATCGTCGACGACTTCCTCACTCAAACACCTACACAACTTTTTTCCATGGACGATTTTTAATTTCAAATCTGGATTCATCTCTTGCCTTTTATATAGAACTTTGGAAACGCAATCCTGCCGCAACAGTTACATATGTGAGTTCCTCACAATAAAGGACACGTAAACCTAAATGAAACTTGTCAACGGGAATAGAAAATACGGGACTTTCGACACGAAATCCAGTGATGTGAACGTCCCGTTCGCCAATAACAAAAGTAAATGTTGGCTGTCTGATACTAAACCAAACTTGTACTAAACGAAATTGGAGGTTTCGGGAAGAGGATTTGCTTGTCGGTTGGTAAAAATCTTATTTTAGTTTAGCATAGGGGCCAATTTAGAATACAGCTTTGGTAGCTTAGAAAAAAAATATACGGTGTTGTAGCCTTATGCCTTTTGAGTAATTTGGATCCTTAATTGTCTGTTTATCTTGAGCCGTTCGAGAGATACTTATTTTTTTATCACCGATCGAATTTTCCTTATGAAATTTATTTTATTTTTTTTGAAGTCCCGAAAGGGGTGTGAAAGGAAAATTTGCCGATTATTATTTTTGTGTTAAAGAAAACCCTCTTTATGGATCGCTGAAGTCCATTTGCTGATATCTGGATCGTTTTTGAAGAAATCCACTGTGAAAAATTACAGTGCAGAAATGGGCAAATGACTGAAAATTCGTCAAAGTTCGAAAATTCATATTGGCGGCAGTAACGTTCGGAAGCCAGGCAAACTACCATCGTGAGGTTAAAGAAGATTTTCTGTATGTATAGTTGGAACCCGTTTGCTGATAGCGCTTCGGATTATGAAAATATCAGCTTTGAAACGTTACTATGCAGAAATAACCAAACGTCTAAAAATTTGTCATAGTCCAAAAATGTACATTGACTAATAAAAGTTGATAAAACTAAGGCAGCCACAGTCGTAAATCAATATTTTACGAACAACTTTGCTAATAGTTCAGGATCAAACTATTTTTTCACTCTTCACAATATAACTTCAATCGAGAGAATATTCCGGACACGTTCATCTACTGAACCGAAATTCGTACATTTATTGCTTGAATGTCATCCATTTTCTTTATAGCAGTTATGTATGAACTTCGAATGCGAAAACCGACTGCCCGCTGATGTTCTTCTGGTTATGAGAAAACGACAGCATATGAGACATTCCAACTTTTCCGAAAGAATGATAGAATTTTGATTAGTTTAGTTCCCCCAACAACGAAACGCTGTACGTATGAACTTTTCTGGAAAAACTCGATCCTGATTGCAAACTATTAATATTTAATGGCTTTTTAGGGCATTTTGAGTAAAAATTACACAAACAAACCGTAAAAATATGAATACTTATTAAAAACCTCTTGCTAGTAGCAGCTTCAGCTTTCAAAATTCGTTGAATTGAAGGCAAATAGTCCGTTAATCTGGCTGCACTTTACACTGATCACTCCAAAAGTCGAATAACAAACACATTATTCAAATAGCAGTATTCCCATATGAAAGTTGGGAGTTCGATGTTTTCCACACGAGAATGATTTGAATTATTGAAATGAGCGCGTCTTTGCCTAAACTTTTAGCGAACCGCTTAGTTTTAAGCGAAAAGTTTGAAATCTGCAGCGGAGTATTTGAAGTATCTACACACATATGCTGTCCTCACCGCGATTCTAAATTACATGGAAACAGTCTGCTGCATTTTAAGAAAGGGTACGTTTACGTGGCGCATCAGCATGGAAATTTGAGAAATTCGCATGGAAATCCAGAATATGGCGTTTCTTAAGCGTGCATCTGAAGCACCCAGTATTCATTGGTCAAACAATTTCCACATGCGTCTAGGTGTAATTATCTATATATTTGCATGAGTGTTTTAAACTTGAATCCAATAATTTTCGCCCCGATTGACCCACTCACGTCCCTATAAACTTTAAGAGCCCTTAAAGCATGCCATTTGTCCCGCCCAACGATTTTTTTCTTCCCCCAGCTTGAGCGCGAGCCATTCCTTCAATAGCACTATTTGAATAAAGTTGCTTTTATCTTATTTGACAAGCTTTGAAACTTTATGTTATGCATAGGCAAGCGACCCGATTGGCATTATTGCAAATCTATGGGGAACAGCTTGGATTTTGCGACAGAAGCATTGTTCGGTATGGGATTTTTCACGTAAAAGGGCCCAAACAGTTAGTTGGGACCTGTCATGTTAGAACTGTATTTGAAGGCGTGTGTTCTGGTTGCAGAGGAGTGAAAAATAAAAATATATCGTAACTGACTTTCGTTTGTCTGAAGGAAATATTTGTAAAAGTCTAATTATGTTCAAATCAAATCAGTAAGCAAGTTTGCAAAGTGATGGAATTAAGCCACAAATAAATATCACTAATCAAAATGATACAGTTGAAATATTAAATTGCAAATTACTCCGAGCGTCGTACGAGAAAGTTGTGGGAGGTAAATCGAACTGGTGCTGGCAACAAAAGTTTTTCGAGTCGATTTTGTGATTCTCAATATCAGAACTGGAAAGGATGGAATTATCAGTTTTACCAAAAAGTCCATATTGTTGCTGATAAAATTATTATTCAACATGTCTTGTTTTGTCGATAAATTCTTGCAACATCATACCAACATTATAACATTATAAACCTAGAGAAGAGAGAAACGTTTATAAAGCAAACAATAGAAGACATTTTGCTTCATGTGCCCTGAAAATTGCAAATTCAAGACCAATTTTTTGAATTTTCGACGAATTTTTGGACTTCACTTGGATTTTCCAGGTGCCTATTTTGCGCTGACAGACACTTTCAAAAAATCAGTAGGAAAAACTGTGCTAAACAGAATAACTCTGTACGTAGCAATCAGTGGAAGACACTTTGTTTTGTGACCTGAAAGTTGCAAATTTACTACGTAGTTTTTGGAGTTTTGGCGAATTTTTTAAAAGACCCGGTGTCTTTTTCACGTTAACAGACTCATCGTTATCTAAAAACCAGACTGAAGAGGAAAACTTTTGAAGAGCAGTCAACGGACCTCACTTTATTTCCCCTGAAAGTTGCAACTTTGCAGCATAGTTTTTGGAGTTTAAACTATTTGTTTAATTCGACATGAAATTACGCGCCGTTTCTTTTACATTAACAGACCCTGATATGCCTTGAAAGTGGAAAATTCATAGAGTACTTTTTGGAGTTTTGACTATTTTCATCTGAGGAAAAGTATAAATGCTTGCCACTTTCGATTAAGTAAGTATCGTACTTCCTCAAGATATTCTCACTGTCTTCAATCTCTTCACAACAATGCATCAACTAGAGTTTCACTCACGAAAACGTCTTTAACACATTAGAGCCCCCAAAAATGACGGCCAATATTTCATCAAAATATTTCACACATTTCGTTCACATTTAAGTTATTTTTACTTATTCTTTATATTACTTTTTACACATAATCGAGTCGTAAAAGTTTTGGGAACTAAAAAAAGCAACATAACCGCTTTGTAAATTAGGTAAATGAAGCGAATATTTTCATTCAATCTGAGTTTGCGAAACTATTAGTCAAAAGTTACATACATTTTTAAGGTATTGACCAAAGCTAGTTTTCACAGAGTCTCAAAGAACAGGACAAATTTTAGTCTTTAGAGAAACCTAATTTTCCCGTTCCCTAACTTCTTCAGGCGGTTTGGATAGTTTTGCTCTTTGCTTCTTTGAAGTGATACACGTGCAGTTAATACTTGGAATTTTTTTCATAATTACAGCTCCATAATTCAGCGAATCCTCAGTTCACTAAACCGTCTTTTAGCTTTGGAAAACATCGCTTCGTTCATAAAATSTTGAGTCGAGGAGCATTTAATTCTTGACAGGTAATTTTASTACAGTTTTTTCAGTTACATTATCTTTGTCGAATAGTTTCATTCATTAATAKTYKWATTTCTTGTTCWGTCTATAACTTCTTTGTTATCTTTTCTACGCTAAAGCTGCTTCGGTCGCCTCCAATTTTYTCAAATGAAAAACCGGACAATTTTAACATTAAAAGAACACGATTTTTTTAAACTTTTGTCTTAAAATTTTCATTTGTGTCAACTAAGTTTTAATCAAAATTTCGATTTTAATTAAAAACAAATGTTATTTAATGTATGTCGAAATATYACACACCAGCTATTTTAGCAAGAAATTACACACGTTAAAGTGTWAAAAGAACTWAATTTCAAAAATCTTAATATTCTGACTAATAAGTGTTTTTCTATTGCAGGTAAAGCCTCCAACCATGATGAAATCAAGGAAAGCACGGAAAAGGAAGAGCAGTTGATCTGGAATACTCAAAGAAAATGTATCCTGAAATATTAAAGTTTGGTAGTTCAATGCGATTTAAATAGGTTTTAAAGACAAAAATTGTTGGCCAGTTTTGGTACCAATGTTACCGGGTTGCAGTCTGACCTTCTTTCATTTGTATCGTTATCGTGTGCTTATCTTGTTAATTAGCTTTTGAAATTTGCATCTAATTGAAAATGAAACCCTGAATTTTATTAAATTTCATTGAAGCCTACTATCTGACTTTCCTCAACTCCCGACGAAAGTATTTACGTATGCCATTTTTCCATAGTTGGCATATATCTAAAAAAATATTTTTGTAGTTAAATTTCATGGTAAATTCCTGTAAACATTCTAGCGCAAGATCCGATTGGGCACGGACTATTAATATACTGGTCATTGTTCTAAATTCGTTATGAAGTAAATTCAAAGATCGACATGGTCATGCAGCTAATTGACTTTAATGGCCCCCAAGCATATTTAAACATTTGTTTTAATTTATCGTCGAATAGCTTTAATCTGGGCGCTCTTTTCAAATGGTATGAGCAGGTACATTTGCATAGAAGCACGAACCGAGTAAATGCACTTAATTTCAAAGCCATTACCTGCAATTGGGGGGCTTATTTTAAAAGTGATTTTAAATGGCGAGCTGGTAATCACTGCAATTATGTCGCGTAATCGCACAGATTTGTATACATTAACTTCTGTGTGATCGTCTGACCAAAAACTGGGTGGTCGGTGTGATGTTTTAAATGCGAAACGTTTAAGCCGATCAAGATTAGTCTCATCTCGACGGTGTAATTTAAACAATTATTGACATACGACTTTAAATTGAAAATACGTGATGGTTTGAACGGGCAATTTGGTTGACACACTTCGGTCGATTGATTGACCAAAAGAATCTGTAACGTTTTCTGCGTAGTTCTTTGTAGGCGTGTTGAAAATTGAAAGAAATATCGAATGTGTTAAGACATTTTTACGAGTACCATACAATGTTGTATCCACCGCCTTCACCAGGCACTTTCAAGGAGCCTTCAACCGAATATCACGAAAAACACCGAATAATTTTCAGTGCCTCAACCGTATTTTTTTACAATCGCTCTCAAGTTAAAGTTGATGTTTTACAATTAACAGATGGTTTCATTTTTGCATAGTTTAAAATTTCCCACATAAACTGCATGGTACTCCTTGACCAACCAATTTTCTATGGGTAGTAAAAATTTTCGGGTTTTTATACGGTAAGCACATAAGTGAGACAGCAAAATTAAATTGATTTTCTTTGTTGGTAACATTTACGGGCGCACTAAATGCCGAAGGAGAATCGTATAAATCCAAATCAACATAAACTCTTTCCGGAAATAAAAATAATCGCTGGTCGGATCAATGCGGAATGGCCACTGACCTAAAGTATCTTTGGGGAAATCTTATCACGGCACATCATTCAAATCTCCGAAGAGTTATTTGCTCTTTCCGAAATGAAAGCTTTAGAAAATCGAGATCATTCTCATATATTGACGTGTCTGAACTTATGTGCACCGTGTTTGATGGTTCAGAAAAAGGCGAAGTGGTTTGATTCGGAATGCATACCAATGCACTTCTAGTTTACCCTTGAGCTAAAATRAATTTKATTAAAGAACGTAACTGCTTACAATTCGTTTCAATTCTGCACCGTTTCAATGTTTTATTGTTCATGTGTAATTTCTTCTAAAAACAAAAATYGCMCTTCTTGTAAGTTGGATCTTCTAGCGTTTGAGTTTGGTTTTAACTGTTCTCCTAGTTAAATGTTTAAATGTTAATCAGTAAAGTGGCCATGAAAATAAAGCAAAAACCACCTAAACTTAACAATTCAACAACGAAACCCACTGTTTTGCATATAAAATACTAAAATATTTTAAATTACTCCAAAGGCAAATACTTAATTGTAAAAAAGGACACGAAGAAGAAGCATTTAGCAAGTTCAAGATATCTTTATTAACTACAAATCCCCAGAGGTATTTATGTAGTAATTTATAAATGTTCCATCAGAAAACTGGCACGACGAAAAATTGCAGTAAAAATACCACGTTTTGCAAGCAAATGTATGAAAGAGCATATAAAGTTCGAATTAAACAGTGTAATTAAGACTAAAACCACGCAGCTAAATACTGACGCACAAATTAATAGAAAACTGGTTTTTTATTATTGCGTAATAAACGTATGAAAAGGTAAACTTGTTTTTTTTTAGAAAAATTCAAATGAAAAGTATGCATAATAATTTGGTACGAGCTTTTCAAAGGAAAGTGAAAATCCCTAACGAGCATAAAAATGTTTCTGTCCACTGTCTTCATATGTATTTTTCTTGTCCTCAAAATCACGTTTTTTTATCATTTTCTTGTATTTGATTAAATTTAGTTGTACTTGAATTTGGTGTCTTCAAACAGTAAGATCTCAGTTTTTACAGCCAAAGTAGTTTATGGCTTTACATTAATTTTTGAACAATGAAAGTCATTGACTATAACGGATATTTTCAATGATTTTGCCCACTGTAGGTTTTCTGCATAGAAAAGCGATTTCCTACAGCAAAATTGTGTGGACATTTATTCAGGTATGCTGGTAATATTTGCGAGCAGTATTAATGCTGTCCGGTGAAAAGTTTCAGAAATTCTATTTAGCCCTTTTTCTAAATCATAATTTCCCGAAGGCCACTCTGGCCCTCGGGAACGCACAAACGATCTCTTATTTTCTATGTACCCTGCTCAATATGTTTCCACGTGGCATCTTATCGACGTATGAAAGTCCCCATAATATAGTTAAGAAACCATTTTAAAAAAGCGTATGGAAAAACAGCGAAATTTGCAAATCAGACTTCAAGACTTGAAGCTATTCATGCTTCATCGACTTGAAAAGTGTGTATGAATTTCTGTGTGTAAAGAAATTGGTTTTAAATTTGACTAATTTTAAGTATCTGCTGGCAGCAAAACGCGGTAGAAGTGTTTGAAGAAAGAACATTAGAAGCGATCAGGAATAAAAGAGAAAAATATATCCCTCAAGAACGTCTCGGAAATATTCCACTTCAATTAAAGGTAGCGAAGTAATTATCAATAATATGAGATATGCCGATGATACTGTTCTAGCAGCAGAAAGTGCTCAGAACTGGCAACTTGGAAAAGGAGCGAATCTGGAAAAGCGTACCCGCAGATTTAAAAAAACGCCATAAGAAGGCCAGAAAATCTTTGGTAAGCATGTGGAGGCAACTTTTTTGGCGACAAGAGTTGCCTTTGGAGCTCCGAATCTGCTTGCCCGGAACTGTGTTTTCTGAATTCGTCTGCAGGAATCTGAGACTTGGAATATCCGCTTTTGTAAAAAATATATGCTGTTTTCAATTTAGAATGTGTCAACGAGAAACAGGGACAAAACCGAAAGAAATCTTGTTTACAATGTAAGAAAGAACATAATATGAAAAGAAAAGAATAAACGTTTGCGCCTGGTGATGAAGCAAAAATATAACAAATATATTGCTGAAGGGACATTTGAAGAAGGTTTGGCTTGATGAGCTTGAAAGAATACGTAGGAGGAAGATTTTTAATTAGAATATATAAAACATTTTTTGAGCAAAATGTCTGTCGGAAATAAATTATTTGCAGAACTACGCGAACCTGTTGAATCATAAACATTGTCTTGCATGTATGATTATCATGAGGTCCCGAAAATAATTGTAATAAGTGAAAAAGTGAAAACGGAAATGGCCCTCGTTGTACACGAATTTCAACGCCATTTGCCGGTAATACAGCGCTTTCATTGAGGTTTCGTGCAATACTAAAACGTGACCATTATCAGGACGAGATAGGGAGATGTTAATGTAGACACATTTTCGATATCTGGCTAGTTTTCCGCTAGTTTTACGGTCAATTTAAATGGCGATATCGACACAACAGCCGCTTATATCACCTCTATTGCAGATTGCGGCTCGGTGACTTGTAAATACGTAATCCCATTGATTGGTCCATTTACAGTTTATATTGTAATTGGATTTGCATCATAAATTATGGCATAGCGACAACATCCGCTTGTTCGCATGCCAAAATTTTCAAGTATTCACCATCTTTGAAGGAAAATTGTTGCAAAATCGAGAAGATTGTTAAAACACATGTAATTGAAAGAGTTAATTATTGCATGGCATTCGGCATCCTAAATATCCACAACAGTTCATTTTCGGCATAAAAGCTTTGCCAACTCTTAGAGCTAAATGGATACGACAGCGGCAGTAATAAATTAGATAATGGTAAAACCAAAAGAGCGTTTGGGAATTTAGGACACTTTGTAAAAGTGCATGTAGAAAGGACCAGAACGAAAATAATCTCTTTTATTGGCTCGATAGTTTCGATGTTGAGTGTCAGCTGGTTTGAAAAAGGGCCATTATCTGTACGAACGGACTGGTTTTTTAATGTGCAATGGCACTATTTCACTTGAATGTCTGCTGATATTTAGTAACACAGCAGATGGCGTTTCAGATTTTCCCATCGAGGATAATTTTACGTTTTTCTGGGTTGGATACATTCAAAGGGTGGAAAAATAGCATATAAAGAGCGGGAATTGATGCAACAGATCAACTACCTACAAACAAATGGGTTAATTTCCTGGCAAAAATGGTCCTTAAAAATAAGGAGCAATTGAATAAATTTAAAGATTTTAAAATTTAACTGTTGGAGAATCATGTTTGTTGTCAAAAATAAAATTAGTGTCCGAAATATGCCTCTAACTTTTTTTACTAGCTGGAAAGTACCAGCTGATTTACCTCGAAAACATTGTTAATATTGCAATAATGAAACTGCATAACATCATTTCTGAGGAATAGCGCTTGAATGAATAGCCGACCGAAAAGTGAGTTATAAGAAATCCTATGCACAAATGTATTTTACACCTTAGGCGACACTTTGCTTCTTATTCGACATTAAATTGCAATTGTGAGACACTGTTCAACGCCCCTCGAATTTTTCATATGAATAAATAAGCCCTTATCTGGCCAGTTGGCAGGTACATGAGTAAAAAGACAAAAAATGTGCTAATTTTCAGTCGGTGATAAGATACTGGGTAATTTTCGGGGGTGAAAATCATGAGCTTCAAAAGTATGTGTTTCAGAAAGGCGTTCTTACTTCAATGAAGAAAATGGGCAGTTGTAGGGGAATTTTTCGGTCTTGAGGCTCTCTAAGGTGTTCTTACAAGATCTTTGACTTTA